TCTCGTCCCCGGCCCGTTTCCCACCTCGTTCCCTTCCTGTTACTCCTCCTCTGTCTCCTTAGTCGACGCCTCCGTCTCACGTCAGGTCTCGTCGTCCCTCTCGTGCTCGTCCTGTTCCCCATGTTCCGCGCTCTCACCCTATGTTGCTCAGTTCCCACATGTCTCGTCCTCCTCTCCTGCCTTCCCCCGCTTCGTCGTCATTCGCTGTCGCGCCTCCCCATCTGTCTGACTACCTTCGTGCTGCTCGTCCTCTTGTTCCTCGGGTTCTTGCCACCCTTGTTACCGACCCGTCTGTTCCTCTCTCAAGTCTTGACGCTCTTGTCGCTGCTGTTGCTGACTTCGACCCTATCCATATCCGTCCTCCGTCCGTCAGGGGTGCTCCTGCCCTTGGCAATGACGTCCTAGAGGACAGGTAGTACGAGCTTCCTTCCTGTCAGAGGCTGCTCCTCATCTCTGTTCTATGCTGCTAGTCCCTGAGGGTGACCCAGACTCCTTTCACATCCCGACCCCTCGCACCTACGCTGAGGCAACCTTGGGGACCCTGGGCCTCTCCGTGGATACCTACCATGGAGCAGGAGATGGCACCTTGGAGATCCACTGGTACCTACGTCGACGCAGTTCCCCCACCCGGGGTGAACGTAGTCGATGGCCGGTGGCTCTTCAAGATGAAGCACCCTCCTGAAGAGCCGACTGTGTTCAAGGCGCACTACGTGGCTAGAGGCTTCAGTTAGGGAGAGGGGGTGGACTTCTTTCAGACCTTCGCCCTACCCCGAAGATGACCACTCTTCGGGCGTTGCTGCACGTAGTAGCATAGTGTGATTACGAGCTCCACTCTCTTGACTTCCAATTCTTTTCCTCGGGGCAGCCTACACGAGAATGTCTACCTACGCCGTCCACAGGGCTTCACTAGTACCTTCCCTCCTGGGACCCAGTGGCTCCTCCGGCGTCCAGTCTACGGCCTGCGACAGGCGCCCCGTTAGTGGCACAACACGCTGCGTGCTATGCTAGCTGACCTGCAGTTCTTTCCGTCCTCTGCATACCCTTCGCTCTTCATTTGTGCTGGCCAGACTCCGTTCTACATCCTTGTCTACATAGACGACCTGGTCTTCGTTACTGCAGACAGAGACGCGCTGGCCTTCGTCAAGGCCGAGCTGCTGAGGAGACACACCTGTACTGACCTAGGAGAGTTGTGCCTGCAGATCTCCAGGGACAGAGCAGCGAGCACAATCACTATCACACAGTCACACTTGGTGCGCCAGGTCCTTCAGAGGTTCGGTCTTTAGTTCTCCTCGGCACAGCCCACACCTCTGCAAGTAGACCACATGCTCTCAGCTCCAGTTCTTGAGGAGTCGGCAAAGCCCAGTGGTCCTTACGCAGAGCTGGTGGGTTGCCTCATGTACCTGATGACTTGCACTCGTCCAGATCTCGCATACCCTCTCAACATCATGGCTCATTTTGTGGCCAAAGGCCACAGCACTGGTCGGCCACTAAGAGGGTTTTGCGTTATCTTGCGAGTACATCGGGCATTGGGCTAGTGTTGGGAGGACGCAGGCCAGTGGTCCTTACTGGGCACACAGACGCTTCTTGGGCAGACGACGCTGAGACCCTCAGGTCCTCCCAGGGCTACTGCTTTAGCCTTGGTTCCGGTGCCATCTCATAGAGGTCCACTTGCTCCTCGTCCGTTGCTCAATCCAGCAGTGAGGCTGAGATCTATGCTGGTGCCCTGGCAGCATTGGAGCTCCGTTGGCTGACGTTCTTGCTCGTCGACTTAGGTGAGCGGCCTAGCTCTGCCCCAGTTCTGTACGCTGACAACAGGGCCATGATCCTCCTGTGTCAGGAGCCTCGACTTGAGGGCAGAGCGAAGCACATCCAGTTGCGGTACTTCCTCCTGCGCGAGCTACAGCTGCGTCGCCAGGCCCGCGTAGTACACTTGGCCTCTGGACCCAACACATCTGATGTCTTTACTAAGGTGCTTGCGCCTAAAGATCATCAGCGGCACTGCTTGCAGCTTGGTCTAGTTCCTGTAGACTCTCACTTGCTAGGACCTTGATTGTGTACTCTATATTTATTCCTTCCAGACTGGCCTTGTGGCTTCTCTTCCAGTCGTGGGACTTGTAGTTCCATCTTGGTTTGCTCTTGTCTTGTTTGTACTCTTGCTGACTGGTCTTCAGACCCCTGCCTCAGAGGTTGGACTAGTTGTGCCACCCTGAGCTGCATGTTTCTTGCTCAGCACTACCCCTTATCTAGCCTAGGGGTGGGTCAAATTATACATATATTATTAAATAGAAGTTATAGGCTAGATAGGTGTATATTCTTAGAGGGTACAACCCCAACACTATATCTCCCTTGTTCTCTCTTGTTTCTTATTCATTCTAGTATTCTAACAAAGGAGTCCCCCCCCCCCCTCTAGCCAGTGCCCCTACTCTGACCCTACTCTACCCCTGTAGAGCCCTCAACCATTGTGAATGAATCGATGAAACGGCTGGGTTCGCACATGGATAGGTTCAGAGCGGTCGTGAGCGGTGCAGTGGAGGATTACAGGAAGGGGAGCGGAAGGGGAGGGTGGGAGGATACGGATGCGGTGGTTTTTTTTATTCACACAGTGTCGGTGTGGCGGTAAGATGGGTTCCCGTGGGTGTTTACGAGAAAGAGTACGGTGGATTGTGGGCATTACTGCTTGCCTTGTGTGCCAGATGCATGGAATGAGATGATGTTGGCCTAGCTATGGGTGAAGTCAAAAGACATCTAACATTATGGTTTTAGTACAATGATATATATAAAGGCTGATGTTTGCTCCAAAACCATGGTGTGGAATCTTGCTGAATACTTTATGAATTCCATGTCACAAAGCTAGGTTAGCTAGGAAGGTAGGCTGCCATGAAATGGCGAGAGGTTTAGGAGCTAGGAGAGTAAGTTGACGAGAGGAAAGAGGATGGAATAGAAGAGAGAGAGGCATACAAGGAGGGAGTTGTACCCTCTACAATATAGTTCAGTAACACCTACCAAGCCTACAATTATATAACAAATATAATTTAACACACCCCCTAGGCTTGGTAGTGGCAAGCCCACACACACCCACACCCCCCAACCTGGCACCCCCATACTCAGTAGCAGTGACTGCTACTTTAGCACGGTCAACCCCACGGCAAGTGAGGCGGGGCGACGTCGACAACGAGGACAGCGGCTGCAACGGCGGCGACGGCGGCTGCGTCGACAGCGACGACGCCGGCGGCGTGCGGCGGCGTGGCCAGCGGCACCAGCTGCGGCGTGCGGCGGCGGGGCCAGCGGCCCCAGCTGCGGCGGAGCTCGCAGCACTCGGCGGCGTGGCCAGGCTCCACGACGGTGGGACGGCCGGCGCGAAGTAGCCATCGGCTGCGGAAAGGAAGAGAGGACGCAGGGGAAGGGGGGCGGGGCTTCAGCAGCGGAGCCTGGGAGCGAGCCGCCCCGTGTGGCGCGCTGGCTGCATGCGGGCGTGCTGGCCAGCGCTAAGAAGAGGCGCTGGCCGCTGCCGTCCGTGCCGTCCGCGCACTGTCGCGTCGACGCCGCGGCAGCGTGACGGCGCCGTCACGCCGCCACGGCTTGATGTCAACGACGGCGCCGCCACGGCTTGACGTCGACGCCGCGACAGCGCGACGCCACGGCAGCGCGTCGCGACGGCCGCGGCAGCACGACACGGCCGGCGGCACGATGATGCGGCCACAGCAGCTTGACGCGGCCGCCATGGCAGCGAGAGAGAGAGAGAGAGAGAGAGAGAGAGAGAGAGAGAGAGAGAGAGAGAGAGAGAGAGAGAGAGAGAGAGAGAGAGAGAGAGAGAGAGAGAGAGAGAGAGAGAGAGAGAGAGAGAGAGAGAGAGAGAGAGAGAGAGAGAGAGAGAGAGAAACAAGCACGCGGCAGAAGCGTGAGGAGCAGGCCCACAAGGAACGAACTGCTCTAATACCATGTCAGAAAGCTAGGTTAGCTATGAAGGTAGGCGGCCATGAAATGGCGAGAGGTTTAGGAGCTAAGAGCTAGGAGAGAAAGTTGACGAGAGGAAAGATGATGGAATAGAAGAGAGGGAGGCATACAAGGAGGGAGTTGTACCCTCTACAGTAGAATTCAGTAACACCTTGTTAAATTATATATTGTGTTATATAATTGGTAGGCTTGGTAGGTTACCGAACTCTACTGTAGATGGTACAACTCCCTCCTTGTATGCCTCTCTCTTCCTAGTCTCCCTCTCTTTCCTCTCGTCAACTTTCTGTCCTAGCTCCTAGCTCCTAAACCTCTCGCCATTTCATGGCCCCCTTCCTTCCTAGCTAAGTTAGTCTTCTAACACACCTACCAAGCCTACAATGATATAAAAAATATAATTTAACATTCCACCCTGAATTTATGTATTGATGGAGGTAAAGCACATTTGTATAGAGGTTGGACTTGTGAAGGAGATGGAAGGAGGATGCATCCTTTCCATAATTTTGATTGGTCACCTGGGTGTAGTGCATAGTAGCAACTAATCCATCTGTGGCGAAAAATGTTTGCTTCACCCTTTCACCACGCGACAACCCATCACACCACCACCACCATCAACCACGGTTTCTTGAACGCGCGTCCTTGCCTGCTTGTCGCAGCCATACTCCGCCCACCTGTCCCCTGTGGGGCTGCGCCCGCCCCTGCGCCCGTTTCCCCCACACCGAATCAGCGCAGCGTCCACGCCACTCATCCAATCAGAGCTCGTGTCTTCTCGTCGCTGTGGGGGCGCTCAATCAGCCTCAAGATTGATCGCGCGTCGCGCATTCCGTCTCGTGTAGCGATTGGACAATTTTGAAAATCCCAGCCTGGCAATTCCACAAGCTCCGAGCCGCATGTGCAATTCAAGCTGTTGCTCATAGACATTTCCAGTCTCGCCCCATCCCCTCGATACCATCCCATCCCACTCCACCCCCACCTCACGCGACACAGTGTGGTATTGGCTGGTAAAGCATCCCCTCCCCTGGCCTCAGCAGGCAGTACTTCACACTGGACAAATGAACGTGGAGCTTGCCAAGCCTGCGTTTTGGTGGCTCTGTTCGGACCTGGCAGCTACTAGTAGTAGGTTGTTCGTGTGAGTCAACCCTCCAACGCTTCACTCCATAAGACCGAGACTCGCATAAATCCTTCGGATCTTAGAGTGATCTGATAGTAAAGCCGTGGTATTGAAGCGACCTGTCACAGAACGAAGAGCAGCATCATCGAAGTTCCATATCTCCGACAGCGACGCCTTCAACCCTACTAGGGAGAATTGATGGCGCCCATTTCTTATCGTTCCCATGGCGCACCAGCAGCACGAATACTGCTACTAGCGCTCTTCATTCCGCTCGTTACAATCACCGAAGCATCCTTCTCTCTCACCTCGTTTCTCGAGTCCTTCACCACCTCGCACCAACAAAACTCCCCTCGAGACCGAACAGAAACCCCTTCCGGATTCTCAGATCGCCCCGTCGCGAGGCGCCGCCTAGCTGGCATTACAGAATTGGTCGAGAAGATCGAGCGGGTCGAGCAGGCGGTGTTCGAGCCGCGATTAATTCAGCCCGCGCCGCTCCCCAACGCCGTGGGGCGCGCCGAGCTCTATGTCGACGATGGCATGGCCGTCGACGGCTCCGCTGATCCCTCCGACGTGATGCTCTCGGGCGAGTCGGCGGACGGCGCGGGACCCGCGGGTAGTAACAGCCTCCTTCCGCTGGACGAAAATCTGGTAACTGACGTTTCGCCCGTCGCGAAGCAGCAGGTGTTGGAGCGGTCGTCGCAGCGCGACGGTTCCGGCAATCCCAAGGATCGCACGAGCTGCTCGATGGACCACGGCTCGTGGCAGGTGGATTCAACGTGGCCGCTGTACGACGCCACGTGTCCGTTCATCTACCCGAATCAGAACTGCGTGAAAAACGGCCGCCCGGACCGCCTGTTCGAGCGAATCCGATGGTCCACCCCCAGCTGCCCGCTTCCCACGCTCAATCAAGCCACGCTCTGCAGCCTCGTCGCGGGGAAATCCATGGCTTTCGTGGGCGATTCGGTGACGCGAAACACATTCGAGTCGCTGGCGTGCCTCATGTACGGATTCTACGGAATGCCGGAGGATCTGGCGGGAATCAACATGGCGAACGGACTCGAGCGTGGGTTCGTGTGGCCCGCGTGCAACTTCACCCTGGCGTTCTACCGGACGAATTTCATGGTTGATCTGAAGCTGGATGACCCCGCCAAGCCCAAGGGAGGGGGGGTTATGGATTTGAGCAAGCCGGACGAGAGGTGGATGAGGCGACTGGCGCAACACAATGTCTTCGTTATAAACACAGGTGAGGAGGTTGACATTTTTTTTAGCTCATTCATACAAGTTGAGTGTGTCTCGAGACTACTGCTGCCACAGCCCTAAGCGCTGTTACCTCGGAAAGTTGAGCCCACTGCTGATCTGTATATTGTGTTCATGTGCCTCTTTCCTGCCACGTGTCTGCAGGTCATTGGTGGACAGATGCGAAGATCAAGGGCTCAGGCTTCCGCTTTGCTCCACCCCACCAGGGGCTGTCTGTAGCGGAGGGATTCCAGAAGGCGTGGGAAATGACCCTTGGCGTCTTCAAGAACGATCGCATGCGCGGCAAGGTGCTGGTTATCCCTACAAATTCAGCTACCCACTTCACGGGCCAGGGCTTTAAGAGCGAGTGCCCGCACACAGCTCCGATGAACGCCACAGGATTCCTTAATGAGCGGTTTATCAGGAACTACATGACGATGGAGCCTTATAACGGGGTGATGAGGCAGCTTGTATCGAGGATGCATGGGAAGGAGATGGCGGAGGGGAGAGTGGGAGGAGCACAGGTGGTGTTGTTGGATCAGGCTCGGCCGACCCTGTTTAGAAGCGATGGGCACCCAGGCAAGTGGGCGCTGCTGCCCAATGGGGTGAGGGACTGCGGACATTTTTGCCTTCCCGGAGTGCCCGATGTGTGGAACGAGATGATGCTCCAGCGGCTGTGGGTGCTGGGTGAGGCACAGAGGGAGTAGGGAAGATTTTTGTGAGGAGAGGGTTGATGAAAGGAGAATAAGCCAACAAGGATGTGATTTCCCGTCCTTAGTATGCAGGCTATTGGAATAAAGGATCTCATGTACATGTGAAACTTCAGTTATTGCCTGCCATCTACGCTTTACAAGTGCACCATGTGCAAATTTACAACGTTGTGAGGCGACGTTTGGATATTTGGGGGATCTAAGAAGTGCGAGTAATGAGTAGAGCGTTTCTTACAGATGTGCATACCGTATGCCAAATACATGTTAAAGGTTTTGTTACTTCAATAATACATGTATGATTCTAGATTTGTATTCAAAGCTTGATTACACATGCAGTTATAAAAATGTCATGTGCCAATGTGCAAGATCTCCATACACCCGCGAATCAGTTTGTTCGGAACTTTCTCAAAAGCGGGTCATTCAGTGAAGAGGTTCATCTGTGGCTTTCTAAACTCACCGACTACTGGCGTGCGATCGGACGGTTCAAAATCCCTTCCAGACTACGATCCGACGGCTCAAAGTCCAAACTGTTAAAGTGAGAACTGAATGAATGACTAGAAGTGGAACCTTAGAACAAATACTAGTTGGTTGTACTCACTAGAAGCATACCTCAGTCTAGCCTATAACTTCTACATAGCCTATACATATTATCTATGTAGAAGTTATAGGCTAGACTGAGGTATGCTTCTAGTGAGTACAACCAACTAGTATTTGTTCTAGGTTTCCACCTCTAGTCATTATTCGTTCTCACTTTGACATGGTATCACGCGTAGGTTAGCATCCCCCACCTACCGCTTCCGCCCGTACCCTAGCTAGGCCACGTCGCGCCTCCTAGCCCCGTCGCGCCTCCTAGCCACGTCGCCCCCCCCCCCCCTCCTGGGCCACGTCGCGCCACCCTAGCCCTGTCGCGCCCCTCCTGGGCCCCGTCGCGCCACCCTAGCCCCGTCGCGCCACCCTAGCCCCGTCGCGCCCTGCCTGGCTCCGTCGCGCCCGCCTGGCCCCATCGCGCCCTGCCTGGCCCCGTCACGCCTTGCCTGACCCCGTCGCCCCCGCTCGGCCCCGTCGCGCCCTGCCTGGCTCCGTCGTGCCCGCCTGGCCCCGTCGCGCCCTGCCTTGCCCCGTCGCGCCCTGCCTGGCCCCGTCGGGCCCGCTCGGCCCCGTCGCGCCCTGCCTAGCCCCGTCGCGCCCTGCCTGGCCCCGTCGCGCCCGCTCGGCCCCGTCGCGCCCTGCCTGGCTCCGTCGCGCCCGCCTGGCCCCGTCACGCCCTGCCTGGCCCCGTCAAGCCTGCCTGGCCCCGCCGCGCCTCCCTGGCCCTGCCGCGCCTGCCTGGCCCCGCCGCGCCTGCCCGGCCCCGTCGCGCCCTGCCTGGCCACGTCGCGCCTGCCTGGCCCCGTCGCGCCCTGCCTGGCTCCGTCGCGCCCGCCTGGCCCCGTCGCGCCCTGCCTAGCCCCGTCGCGCTCTGCCTGGCCCCGTCACGCCTGCCTGGCCCCGCCGCGCCTCCCTGGCCCTGCCGCGCCTGCCTGGCCCTGCCGCGCCTGCCTGGCCCCGTCGCGCCTGCCTGGCCCCGCAGCGCCTGCCTGGCCCCGTCGCGCCCTGCCTGGCCCCGTCGCGCCTGCCTGGCCCCGCCGCGCCTGCCTGGCCCCGCCGCGCCTCCCTGGCCCCGCCGCGCCTGCCTGGCCCCGCCGCGCCTGCCTGGCCCCGCCGTGCCTTCCTGGCCCCGCCAGCCCCTGCTTGGCCCCACCGCACCTGCCTGGCCCCTTCGCCCCGGCTCGTCCTGCCGTGCCGCCTCGGGCTCCGTCTCCGCTGCTCGCCCGTGCTGAGGCGCTTCGCGGCCGCCGTGCTGGAGGGGGCTGTCGCTGTGTTCCTGCGTCGCTGTGTTCCTGTGGAGCTGTGCCGCTGACCCTGCACGATGGCGGACTTCGTGCTCCGACTGGACGCCGAGGGCCATGCGGTTGACTTCGCCGCCTGGCTCTCCGATCTCCGCCGCCACCTTACAGGTCAGCGCCAGGATGGCCACTCTTTGGTTGTCCATGTCGACGGCTTGCTCCCCCGTCCCCCCGCACCTGCTCCCCTCCCTGCTGATCCCTCCTCTGATGACCGTGAGACCTTCTCTACTGCTGCGCTTGCCCGTGCGGTCTGGGACTCCCGCGATGCAGTCGCTCAGGTTGCCATTAGCCACGCCCTCCCTGTCTCTGAGCGCTCGCGTTTTGCTACTATTGAGACGGCCAAAGCTTACTTAGACGCTGTTATTGCCCGCTATTCCACACCCGTGTCTGCTTCTGCTGGTCGCGTGCTCTTCCCTATGCTTTTCCCAGACCTTGCAGCTTTCCCTACCGTCGCAGACTTTGCCACTCACCTGCGTGCCCTAGAGACCCGCTATCGCACTGCCAGCACTGCCGCCCAGCTCACTGCGCTCCCCCCCCCTTTCTGCATGACGCTCTATTTTATCGCCATGCGCCTGCCAGACCGCCTCGCTAGTGCTCGCGATCACTTTCTTAGCCAGCACCCGGGTGACCTCACTCTCACTGCCTTTGTCGACACCCTCACCGAGATCAAGACTCGCCAGCGCACTATCGCTCACTCGAGCGGTGCGCCGGCAGTTTCTATCTTTCACGGTTGTGCCCCCTCTCAGTGTGCGTTCACTGACGTTTCGGCTGCGGTCGCCTTGGCGGCCCCTCTCACCGAGTCGGCTGGTGCGGTCCACCCGCAGCAGCGCTCGCGCCGCGGTGGCCGTGGTCGCCAGGGGGGTAGGGGTGGTGGTGGCAGTAGTGGTGGTGACGGTAGTCCGCCTGCGGGGACTACCACTGGTGGGCAGGAGCAGCAGCCCCAGCAGCAGCAGGAGCAGCCCCAGCCGCAGCCGCCGCCCCAGCAGCAGTTACCGTCCCAGCAGCAGTCGCCGCAGCAGTGGGCCTGTCTCCCGCCTGGTTAAAAAGGCACCTCCGGAGGTAGTGGCCGTGGTGGTGGCCCGCGCAGCTTGGCGTCTACCGGCGGCTCTGGTGCTGTCACCTGCCAGTACCAGCTTCAGACCGGGCCTCTTCGCGGCACTCTGTGCCGCCGCCCGCACCCGACCGCCCGCTGTTTCCGCCGCCTCGACGATCTCTTTCGTCGTCGCTTTGGCCCGGCCCCGGACCTCCCCGACTGGCACAGCCTGCTCCGTCAGGGCGTGCCGATCTTTGAGTTAGACATGGATCAGCTAGGTGCTTCTTTGCATGCTTTGTATTCTGACACTTCTAGTTTTGCTGGATCTTATTACCCTGTGTACTCTAGTTTAGGTGTTGCACCACTGTGTAGCTTAGCCTCCCCTGCTGCGTCAGGCGTAGGACTGCTTAGGTTGCCTAGTCTAGTCGCTACACCGGCTCCGTCCCCGGCCTCCGCCACTGCGTCGCTGTCCTTCACTCTCGACTCCGGTGGTTCTGCCTGCTTCTTCCGCGACCGTTCCACGCTCACGCCGCTTTCTGCACCTGCTGTTGTCTCTCTCGCTGACCCCTCTGCGGGTCCGGTCGTCGCGCGCAGTTCTACGTCCCTTCCCTGTCCGGCAGTTCCCTCGGGCTCCCTTACTGGCCTCCACGTTCCCTCGTTCTCCAGGAACCTATTTGGTGTCGGCTGTCTCCAGGACCTCGGCGTCACCACCACGTTCCCCGGGCACGAGCGGTTCGCTGTCTGTTCTGAGGCTGTCTCAGGTTCCCCCCTTGCGACGTTCCCCCGGGATCCGGTGTCCGGTCTGTTTACCCTAGACACCGCTTCCCCCCCGGTTGGTGCGTCCTCCCAGGTCGCTGCAGCTTGCTCGTGTCGGTCCCTCACTCACCCCTCCCTTCTCTGGCACCACCGCTTAGGTCACCCTGCTCTCCCGCGTCTGCGTCACATGTCCCAGCACGGTCTTGTCTTAGGTCTCCCTGCGTCGCTCCCTGCCCTTCCTCCCTCGACTGCGCCACCGTGCACGCCTTGCGTCGAGGGTCGGCTTCGCCGTGCTCCTCACTTTTCCTCGCTGCGTCCTGCTACTGCCCCCCTTCAGACCCTGAACTTGGACATTTGGGGCCCTGCCCCCGTCCCCGGACCGCGCGGTGAGCGCTACTTCCTTGTGCTCGTCGACGACTACACGCGCTACACCACGGTGTTTCCCCTGGAGCGGAAGGCCGACGTGCCCGACGTTCTTCTCCCGTGGGTTGTGGCTGCGCGTCTCCACCGCGGTCTCCCCGTGTTGTGTCTCCACTCCGACTGTGGCGGCGAGTTCGCCTCTGGTCGGCTTGGACAGTTCTGTCGTGCGGAGGGCATCACCCAGTCGTACACCTTGCCGGACTCGCCACAGCAGAATGGGGTTGCTGAGCGCCGCATCGGCTTGGTCATGGAAGTCGCCCGTACCTCCATGATCCATGCCGATGCCCCCCATTTTTTGTGGCCGTTCGCTGTTCGCTACGCTGCTCACCAGCTTAACCTGTGGCCACGCTCGCTGCGGCCGCAGGTTTCGCCGACCCTTCTTTGGACCGGGTCCCCGGGTGATGCCTCTGCGTTCCACGTCTGGGGCTGCCTTGCTCACGTTCGTGCCTCTGGCACGGACAAGCTCACTGCCCGCACTGTCCCCTGTGTCTTCCTCGGTTTCCCCCTGGACTCGTCTGACTGGCTTTTCTACCACCCGCCGTCTCACCGCTTCCTCCACTCTCGTGACGTCACCTTTGACGAGTCCGTCTCCTTCTACCGCCGCTTCCCTCACCGAGGTCTCCCAGTTGCCCCCCCCCTGTTCCTTGCTCCCTCTCCCCCGGTAGCCCCTGCCCCTCTCCCGCCTCGTCCTGCCCCGTCTGGTGTGTCTCACGTCACTCCCCTCCCGTCGGTTGTCCCCGTTGAGGAGTCTGCTAACTCTGGTGGTACCCCCGGTCTGTCCTTGCCGCGTCCCCCTTCCCCGGTGCCTCCGCCCCCACTGTCGCAGTCGCCGACCCCACTGCAGCCGCCGTCGCCGTCGCCGCCGCAGCGGTCGCCGCCGCCGCAGCCGTCGCCGCCGCAGTCGTCGCCGCCACTGCCGCCGCCGCTCTTGGCCTCTGGGGGTGCTGGTGTGGAGGAGGGTGTTCGTCCTGCGGCTTCTGGGGGTGCCGCTGGTGTTGGAGGGGGTTCTCGCTCTGGGGGTGTTGG